GAATCGAGACCGGATGATGATGAGACGAACGAATGACCAGCCTTGGAGAACGTCGGCCGCATTGATTAAGAAATATGCGCGCCGCAATGTCGACGATCCTCGTCCAATTCCTCGGCTGGAATTTGTTTAATTCATTACATTTAAACGTTTTCTTAATCTTGTCTTTTCTTTTCTTTTTAAAATCGTATATACGTTTAAACGTTTTAAACGTTTGATCCCAATTGAAAAATGTATCGATTCAATATTCTTATAATTAGAATTAAACATGATTTAATTTTAACCGACATACGTCAATATTGGATCTGTTCTGCGGGATAAGTGGGAAAGGCACGTAACCCAGTTCCAAGAGCCTCGATCGACCGTAATATAGTTCACAAAGCATAATTTCATCGTTGGGCCAACAAACTATCCGTTTGATGGATAACCACGTGCTGAGGTTGACCGGGGACGACGATCCGTGTGCAAATTATTCGATTAATTAAGGACTTATCTGTAAAGTCCACTCGCTCGCCTGGAAACGCCCTGTGTCAAGAACACGAGCGGTTTGCTTCCGAGCATGATCGAAACGTACCAACCTTTCCTCTTTGTCCGTTCGCAAAGAAGGAATATCGAATTGCTTCTTGCGATGATGCACAAACCCTGTTGGTATCGAGTTTTGGGGATCTATAAGTTGTTGCTTTCGCGTCACGTGATTCAAGATTCCCTATTATCGGATCCTCAACCCGAAAGTTCGTTTCTCGGCATCGATTACCGCTGTCCAAGAATATCGCTGTTCGAAATATCCTGAAATTCGATTCTTGTCAAATTTTATATACATGTATATATGTATATAAAACATTACCATATGATAACATTGCCTTATCGTGATATATTTTTTTTAAAAAACATCGTTTTTTTTCAACAATGTTTTAAAAAAATATATAACCGAACAGACAGATTTCACGGTCGAATGAAATTAGTTACACGGTTACTACCTTCACGATAAACCAACCGCCTCCGCTGATTTATTTTCACCGTCATCGCGCACGCAGATTTTTACGAGGTCGGATGGGAAAAATATTTTTCTCTTTACTCTCCTCGCTTTTTTATTCCGACCATAAAAATCTTTGCATCCTCCTCGTAATGCCTTATCGAAAATAAACGAATATATCCCCATTATCTTAGCTGTATCCATACTTATAACGACGTCATTCGGATTAAAGGATCTCTTTTTAGCCCGACAAAGGATCTATATGGAACGTGATCGAAATAACAAATAATGCTGCTACATGCGCCGATTGATAACACGGTTGATGGTTCGATTGTATCGCGGAATATTCTGTAAAAAAAAAAGAGAAAAATTAAAAGAAAAAGAAATAAATACCTTTGTAAACGACGCATCCCTCGAATTTTTTTTACTCGTAATCATCGTTAAAATAAGATGGTATCTCGATCTATGTTCAAATAAGTCCCGCTTGACCTTCCGATTTTGCGGCTCCGCTAAGCCATCAATGAATGGAAGTTAATCACAGAGCCGCGAGCGATTCGTCGTATTTCGGCGGGGAATGGGGTTGTTAGCGATGGGATCGAGTTCACATACGCGCTTACATTACTTAAATTTAAATAAAGTCCAATTCGAGATATTCGTATCATGGAATGATCTTTTAGGAGAGAAGAACAAGTTTTCGAATCGAATTATAAAAATTAAGAGAATTATGTTAAATTATACAGATGTTATATTAAATGAAGGATATTAATTAAATAATTTTTCTTACTATTTCTAGAATTTCAGCAAGATTCGTAGTATAATTTTTTAAAACTACATTGCAAAAGTTTCTCCTTTTTTCGTGAAAATATTCGTAAAATTATTGGATTCAATTGCATTAATTACGGTTTGTCTGTCAACGTTGGAATTTTACTTGCGATGTACTTGATCCCATCGCTAACTGGGGGTGGATTATAACGGGGGATGAAACTGGCGCGAGCGCATCCCTCCGAGCAGTTCCTCCGAGAGGCGATGTGGATTTATTTTAAAGGGTCGCTTTTATAAATGACGAGTGTTGTTGCTCGCGGCGGAAAGCCGGGCAGAGGGAAGGGTGGTGTCGGCCGAGGGTCGAAAAACAGCTTTCCCCCTCCAAAACCCTTCTCTCCTCGATCCCACAG